CCATGCCCACCCCCTCCATCCCGCCAACATGCCACACGAAAGCATATAGGCCCCCTACCAGCCCCTCCAACCCCGTCCAACCCCCCGCCGCCTGCCGTAACATCCAAAGTCGGCCGCCGACCGAAAGTTTGCGATCGCTCAAAAGTTACTGGAATTTGGGGAGCTGGCGAACGCATTGATGTGTCACAATGCATATGTGTCCCTCGCTTGATTGGTGCGCGCGAGCGCGAAGGCCCCCGCAAACTCCACTGCGTGGCGGAAAGCCCATGCGCACTTGCACTAGAAGAGTGCGGACGATCGCTGAATGTTGGTGATGAGCACATGTGCAGAGAGCACAGTTGAGAGTACAAAATGCGCTGAAACAGGACAAAGAGTCAGGAAAAGGTCATAAAACAAAATGCCAGCAAGTAGCACGACGCCCCTCCAATATTCGAGGCGAGGGGGAAGGGGGGGAGGGGCAGGAGCTCCCAACCACCAAGGCTGCCATTACCGGGCCAGCACGGCCGCACAGCCCTGCCAGGACAGCAGCGGTTGATCTGCCCCTGGAAAAAATGCCAAGAAACGCACGCTGCTTGAGCCTAAAAGACGCCTGAGCCTGGGTTGTGCATGCAAGGGCGGCGACAGGGGGGGCGTGCTCCGCAATGCTGCCCCTCCACGCGAAAGGACCCGGGCAGGCGCCTGCTCAGCGCGCATCTCAGGGCGGGCCGTCCGCCACTACGGCCCCAGATCCAAGTGTGCCGAAACAGCCCGGGGGCTGCTACCAGACGAGAAGCTCTAGGGGCATTGAAGTTGCTGACCGAAGCCCTGGCATTGGCCATGACTTGGGCTGACAGGGCGGCATCAAGGTTGGCGCGGCGCCAAATTGGATGCACACCATGCGCATGTGCATGCCATCGCTCCTAGTGACACGCCCACAGGAGCGATGTGGATGCTTGCGAGGTGGCGCCCGGACATCAGTCGGTTCGCCGGAGACAGATGGCGCCATAGGTGGCCAGCTGGGGCCACGCGGCCCCAGGTGTGCAGGCACGCGCGTGCCGCCGCCGCTGCCGCCGGCAAGTATTTTCAGAGCCATGCCATGCACGTTCCACGCTTGTTGGGCGGACAAACTCCACCCCAAAGTGCCACTTTGCAAAGCCGGAGATGGGCCCGTAATGCTGGCCGTACCATCCCCCCACTGGATGGTGCTGCATGCACTGCAAAACGGAGCGCCCACCACCAGACCTCACGCCACCCTCCGACGCAGCCCCCGGCGGCACGCTGCCGGCGCAGCACAGCCGCCGCCGCCGCACACGTGGGCGCTCAGGCACCGGCCCCTGTCTTTGCCGCCACGTTCCTGACCTCCCGCGAGAAGTCCCGCTTGAGCACCTCCGCCTGCAGCCCCTTCTCACTGCCTGCCGACACATGCCTCAGGATCCTGCGGGCAGGAGCGGAGAAAACGCCAAGGTGGCCGCGCATGCCAATGAATCGCCTTCCTCGTGCGCATGCAGCATGGGCCGTGCTCGCCGCCAGCAATTGCCCGAGCCATTCGCCACCGCCACATCTGCCCATCCATGTGCCAGACTCGCCGCGGCCCCGGTCATGTTGGGCAACCACCCCAAAGGACCGCGGGCGGCTGAGGCTCGCAAGGGCCATGCGGCGGGTAGGACCCCCACGCTGCAGCGCCGCTCACTTGACGATGGCGAGGAACCACCAGGCCTGCATGGCCGCCAGCACCAGCAGCAGCACCAGGAACATGATCCAGATCCCCAGGAAGATGGGGATCTGGGTGATGCGCACCACGTTCTTGTACGGCTCCATCATGGCGGCGCGCACCACCATATAAGGGAACAGCAGCACACGCGTGAGCGCAAACACGCCGGCAAAGGCGGCGAACAGCGCGACCTTGGCCTGCGGCCAGTCCAGGGTGTTGGCGAGCTTGGAGGCGTGCAGGACGGGGCTGCTGACGTTCAGGAGGGTGAAGATGAGCAGGCCCAGCGTCTGGAAGTTCATGAAGTAGGAGAACACGATGAGGCCCACGGTGGACACGTGGTGGAGGTCCATAGACCGCGTGTCCTGCAGGCCCAGGCCTTCAGGGGGTCGACAGAGGGGTGGGGTGGGGGACGCGGGTTGGACGGGAGGTGTGTCGGCTCTCGCGTGTGGTGTCGTGCGGCGTGGGAAGGCGGGATGGTGTAGTGCAATGCAGCCCGCGGTGTGGTGCGGGGCCTCTCCCAAGGCCTAGGAAGGTGTGAAGGACCTGCTCGAACAGCACGCGGTCAATTCCCCACGCTGCAGCGCGGACTCCGGAGGAGAGACGGCGCCACTCGTCCCTGGTCTGCGCCCAGATACCACACGAGGCCCCTGTGCCCCTCGCAGCGCCGCTCTGCTGGTCCAGGAACCAGAGACCCGCCTCTGTCGCCTCTCGCAAGCGGCCTCGGTGCGCCTCACCCAGACTGTGCTTGAGCATGAGGTGCATGTACCACCCCAGCTCGAGATTGTAGTAGCGCACCACCCAGATGTCCATGGGCAGCAGCGGCCAGCCGCGCACGCAGCCGCGCGTCTGCAGCACGTTGCACTCGTCAAGCAGCAGCAGCGCCTGCCAGCCGCAGACGAGCAGCAGCTGCGGAGGCCGTGCGGCCGAGGGCCGAGGGAAGAGGCGGCGAGACGCGCGGTTGTCCTGCCATGCCTGGCGCATACGTCCGCACCACACGAGAGCCCCAGCCGTCTATCACAGGCTGATGGTGTGCAGCATGCAAGCGCTGCGCACCCCTCCCCTCATAACACTCCTGCAGTTTTTGCCATGCGCATGGCCGTCGGCGCGCGCCCTGCCGATTTAGCTGCCGACACGCCACCCACCGCGCCACCGAGGGTGGTGTACGCCTCCTCCTCCACCTTATCCATCATGATCATCTCGCTTTTGCTGTCCAGGTGGCGCAGTGGAGGGGGCACAAGGGGTGCAAAGGGGGAGGCAGAGGTGTGGCGAGGCGTGAGCTCGCTTGCTGGGCAGTTGGCGAGGGTTGGCGCAAAAAGCGGCGCAACGGGCGGCGCGAGGCAGCGACGCGCAAGCGTCCTACCCACGCAACAGTGTCGCAGCATATGTACCTGCAGCGCCTCCTGAACAACATGCTGAAGGCCTGATTCCAAGTCCATCTGATGCACAGGAACAGGACGCAGAAGCCCACGCTCGCCCAGAGACCGTCAAGACGGCTGTACGCCCAGGCGGTCTCCTCATCGGCGTAGCTCTTAGCCCTGGTGGCCAGCAGCGGAGCGTAGTATGGCTCGCTCCCGGGAACTAAGTGCCAGAGTGGATCGAGCGGCGACCCCGACGGCATGGAGTCCATGCCGCGGGCGAAGGATACGGCCCTGCTAGTAGACGTGGTTGCTGCGGGGCGCGTGCGCGCCTCCTGATCGTGAAGAACCCCCTGCTGCCCTGCTGTTGCGCGGTTGCGTTTTGTCCGCGCACGGCAAGCTGAATCACACGGCGCGTAAGCGTTTATATGTTACACATGAATGTTTTCCGACGGGTGTAGGATGAACAAAAAGCAGGGGTGCCGCGTGGGGTGAGTGCCTTCCGACCACCCCAACCGGCCATCCCTCCGTCCGGAATACCACTGAAGTCGTGTAACACAGACGCGAGGTAAGTGTTACAGGCCTTGTAGCGGCTCAAACACGGCGCGGCTCCGTCCCTCACTCCTTGCTGGGGGCGCCATCCAGCTCGAGCTGGTCAGGCGGTGTTTTCGCTTTTTGGGTAGTGGTCCAGCGGGGCTCAAGGCGCACGCTCAGCAAGTGCACAAACATTGATCCTGTATTCTGGGCTTTGCTCACCCCCCACAGTCGATTCCTGGCTTGCGATTACTCCGTACACACCCACCTCTTCCTCACTTCCCCGTCCATTCCAGTCACTGGCACAGGCAGCGGCGTTGGTTGGTTGGTTCGTCGCAGGGCCGTGATTTGTTTTTGATGTCAAGGGAACCCCATTTTAAACAAAAACACCTGCTGGTGGCTGCACCGGCGCCGAGTTGAGTTGTTGACCATGTGGTCCTCAACAGCAGGCGAGTGCGAGTTGAGCCATTTCAGCAATCCACACGAGCGCACCTCAAGTACTTGCTGGTGATGCCTGGCATTTGGGATTGTGACGGCTGCCCATCAGAGAGCCCTTGGTCATGGCACTGCGTAATGACCGTTCACCCTCAACATTGCACGTCACGCGACGCCGCAGCACAACGCATTGTATGAAGCACGCCGCGCTTCCATGACGCAGGCGTGAAACATGCACCCGAGTCAGCCAGCCCATGCGTCACGGCGAAGCAGTTCCGTCCCGCGGTTTGACATGATGTCAGGTGCGCATCACCTAACGGCGTAAGCTAGAGTCTGTGTACCTGCCGAATCCCTGCGCCACCAGGCGCTTTTGGCACAAACATAGCGGCAGGGTGCAACTTACCAGCTGCGCAGCAACATTGATAAATGCCTACGGCGCATTGAGAAGAGTCGCAGAGTAACACATCCGTGGATTGTGGGATTGAAGAGCAAATGATCCAGGCTGTGGCACTACCTGCCGCATCTGGTGCTTGGAAGCGCAGGGGCGGGCCCGAAGCGCCGTGATGACCATGGGTAAAGCTGACCCTGCTTCCAGCTGCAGAGGCTGCCGCAGCTGCTGCGATGCACGGACCACTGCTCCAATATTCTGAGATGGCTCATTACAAATGCGCAAGTGGCTGGCTTTGAGCAATGGCGACAAAAGTGGCGGAGTGTCACTTTGCCGCGTCACCGGAGACTTGGTCTGCGGCGACGCCGCATGTATCAGCAACGCCCCAGCTCCCTCGACATCTCTGTCTATTGATTTAATTGGTTTTCTGCGCCGGTCATTGATATTAGACAAGCCCTCATCTAGAATCATTGATCAGCAACGTTGATTTCTCGCCGCAATACACACGGGACCCTGAAGCTGCCGCGTTTGCCGATTCTTGATTCCAAGGCTTGGTTTTTGCCAGCAGTCGGGGCTCCGGTCCCCAAAGACTCGCGATCGGGCGCCAGATTCACCAAGCGACGCACATACAACAGCTGGCTTGCCCGCAGGCATTCGTGTACTAGCGCAGTCAGCGGCTAGTGTGCCGTCCGCCACCTGGAGCAGCGTGCGACGCAAGCGCGCTAATAGGCGCACAGGGCGCGCGGCGCTGCTGCGCGCAGCGCCCTGGTGGCGCCGGTGCTGCCTGACGGCGACTTGGCGGGCAAGGGATGGCCTCCTTGCCACTGCTGGCCTTCCAGCACCATGTTGGCAGGTAAGGAGCCTCTGCCCTGGGGGTATGGCAGAGTGCACGGTGCTTGAGCCCGGCACCCAATGGAAGCGGCCGCGCTGCGGTTGTGCCAGCCGGACGCGCGCCTGCCGCGCGGCCCCCTCCTATCCATCCTCCTGCTGTGGCCCCGCCCTCCACTACGCCCGCCGTGCCCTCGCCCACCTGCCGCCCGCCGCTGCGCCGGTCACGCCCTGACTGAGCAGGAAGCTGCTCGTCAACGCTGATGACCTGGAGTACGTCTGCGAGCTCGGCCTCGGCTCCTTGGCTCTCGTCGAGAAGGCCCGCATGCTGGTCGATGGCAAGGTAGGACAGGACCCAGGCCAAGCGCGCGAGAGCAACGTCCCACACTTGCGTGTCCTTGTCGCTGTCCTTGCGCCGCAAGGCGCAGCCAGGCGCGGCCCGACGCGATGAGCGCCGGTGCGGGCGCAGTAAATGCCCGCAAGGCACGGGCCGCTCGCGGCGCCGCGCAGCGCAGCGTCGGCAGTCGGCCCGGCCGTTGACCCACGGCTGTGCGCTCTGTCGCAGATGATTTCCCAGACACTCCGGCTCTCCGTCCCCCCCAGGTGGCGCCCGTGGTTGTCAAGGCATACAAGCCCGATGTCATAGCCACTCCTGAGGACTTCCGGGAGCTGCTGATGGAGGCCGGGAAGCTCGCGCGCCTCGCGCACCCGTGAGTGCCGGCCGGCCCGCGCCGCCGCGCACTTTGCGCTCCCCCTTCTGCGCGTTTAGGGCTTGCAGCAGGAGCCCAGCAGGTGCCCGCCGACATGCTTGCTGGGGTGGTGGTGTCTGTTTGCCGAGTGCCCACACTACCACCACACCTGCATCCCCGTTCAGCGGCCCCCCTCCCCCCACACGTGCGCACACACACGCACACGCACACGCTCACACGCATGCACACACACTCACACACACACACACAAATACAATCTTCGCCCTCGGACGCGCCCTGCCAGCTGCATACCGCGCTTCTACGGCCTCGGCTGCTTCGACCACTCGAGCCTGGCCGCCGTCCGCGCGTCGCTCTTCAGCGTCGAGGAGTTTGTCGGCACCCGCTGCCTGCGGCGCCTGCTGGAGGAGCAGATGCGCAGCCCCGCGCCGCTGTACGACATGGGCTGGGCGCTGCGCTGGGCGGCCCAGATCGCGGACGCGCTGGCGGCGCTGCATGCGCAGGACCCTCAGTACATCCACGGTGACGTCACCGTCGAGAACGTGTTCCTGGAGGACCACGTGCACCTGGAGGAAGCCGGCGTGAAGCTGGGGGACCTGAAGCCCCACAGGCGAGCGGCGGCGCTGGTTGCCGCTGCCGTTGCTGGGCGAGGGTGTATGCAAGAGGGTGGGTTAGTGAAGGCCGCGCGCTGCCGCTGGCCGCCAAGCTGCATCCTAATGGTTTCCTGTGATATACTCGTATCAGAAACCGTGAAGTCTCCACACTCCCCCGCTGCGCAGGCACGTGTACGACAAACTCACCAGCTTTGCAGCAGCCCAGCAGCAGCAGCAGCTGCAGCAGCTCCAGCACCACCACCACCATCACCACCATCACCATCACCACGGCGGCAGCTTCCAGCAGCAGCTGCAGCAGCTGCACACGCAGCAGCTTCTGCTGCAGAAGCAGCACCAGGGCCGCAAGCCCCACGAGCAGTACAGCCTGGCGCGCTTTTCTGCGCCGCACACGGCACCCTTGATCAGTGACGGCGGCAATGGCGCCGACGAGCCGGCGCCGCTGATTGCTGCTGCTCTCAACAACGGGCAGCGCCCTCGTGCTGCGGGCGGGGCCTTGCAGGGGCATTTCAAGCAGCAGCCGCTGTCGCAGCAGCGGCTGCAGCCGCAGCCGCAGCAGCAGCAGCAGCAGGCGCCTCACCAGCAGCCACAGACCCCGCCGCAGGAAACGACTGCTGTTCTCCACCATGCAGGCAGCGCTCCAGTGACGATCCGAGGCCCTGGCAGCGGCCGGCAGCACGGCGGCGGGGGCGCGCTCGCGGCCATGCTCGCGGCAAGCGCGGCGCACGGGGCCGCAGGCGACGGCGGCAGCGGCGGCGGCCGGGGCGGCGAGGGAGGCGAGGAGGACCGGGGCTCTGCGTGGATGCCGATGTCTCGCTCCCTGCCGGCAGGGGGCGCTGGGGGCATGCTGGCTGCCCTGGTGTCGCTCGAAGGCGTCGGTTGCGACGACAGCGGCCACGGCAGGCGGCGGGGCGGCGGCGGGCTGGGCGGGGGTCGCGGTCACTCGGGAGAACGGGGACAAGGCGGCGGCGGCGGCGGCGGCGGCGCAGGTTGGTGTTCGGAGTCGCCGAAGCTCAAGGCGGGCGCGTCGCCGGGCGGCGGGCGGCTGCTCAACGCTGCTGAGTCGCGCCCGCAGCAGCAGGCGGGGCCGTGCGGCTCGCCCGCGGCGGCGGCGCCGATCCCCATCGGCCGCCAGGCGCGCGGGTCGCCCGCGGCGCGCGCCGGCGCCGCGCGGGC